ACTGCAGATAACAGTCAGCTGAAGTGGCCTGCAGTACTGCACTCTAACCACTGCGCCACCTCGGCTCTCGGTATTGGTTAAGAGCCCCCACCCTTTATGCTTCCAAGTAAAATACATGGGGAAATCCCATAGGGGGGGGGGAATCCCACTTAGGGTTAGGGTTAGGCCCCCTTGAATTCGGATTGGAAAACCGACCTCACCAATGCCAGGCTCAAGGTTGGGCTCAGCCTTCCATCCTTCCGAGGGGGGTAAAATGAGGACCCAGATTGTTGGGGGCAATATACTGACTCTGTGAACCACTTAGAGGGGGCTGTAAAGTACCGTGAAGCGGTATATAAGTCTAAATGCGATTACTAATGCTATTCTCTCTTTTCCAGATTTTTTTCCATTTAATTTTTTGTCGCCTTCTCTGCAAGATCCCATTTGAATCATGAATTCGAGTTTGACTGCCTTGTGGCTTCCCAATGCATCCTGGCCTTCATCCTTGGAAACTGTCTCTGATGTAAACAGGTTCCAAGTTTTAAGTTCCAGCCTTAAGTTCGTCTTCTACATGTTTATTTTTCTCCTTGGTTCCCTTGGCAATGGAATTGTGATCTGGATCACCTGCCGCCAAGTCTCACGGACTATCAGCTGCGTCTGGTTCTTCAACCTAGCTCTGGCTGACTTTCTCTTCTCCATGAGTCGCATCGCACCTCTTGTTGCGGTGAAGAAAGGTTGGATCTTTGGGAGTTTCGCCTGCAAAGCCAACGGCTTGATCAAGTACCTCAACATGTTCTGCAGCGAATTCCTCTTAGCCGCAATCAGCATGGACCGGGCTGCTTGTATCGCCTACCCGTTATGGGCCAGAAGACACCGGAACATCCGCTTGGTATGGCTTGCAGCCGTCGTAGCTTGGATCATGGCCATCATCATAAGCATCCCTTTCTACCTTTACCGTAAGGTGGACACAAAGAACAACAGGACCGAATGCAGGGTGATGCTAAAGGGAGAAGAACCAGAAGTACAAGTGACAATCTACATGTTGAGGCTGATATGTGGGTTCTTGATCCCCTTCACCATCATCGTGGTCTGCTACGGAATCATCATCATGGTGCTGAGGAGACGTCAGACCTCACTCCACTCAAAGAAGTCCTTCAAGGTCATATTGGCCCTGGTGGTGACCTTTTCTCTCTGTTGGTTGCCTTATCACATCACCCAGCTCCTTACATTGCCAGAAGTGAAGGGCCCAACCTTCTTGTTTATTAAACTTGCTGCGGCCTTCCTGGCCTACCTCAACAGTTGCGCAAATCCATTCCTTTACTTCTTCATGGGTGTGGACCTCCACACAAAGTTGACCCTCTATAGTATCATCATGGCACTCAGGAGAACCTTGCTGGATGAGAGCAGCTCCTAAGTAGAAAATCCACTGGTAGCCATAAAAGGGGTCGTTTTCTATGAACGAGCGGGCAATCTCCTCAGAAATCTCTCAGTTGTCCTGTGGGAGCTCGAGCCCTCAAACCTGAAGTAGCCCAGGAGCCATGAAATTTGAATTTGGGTGCTTCCGTTGTTGTTTCTGTCCCAGCCCCAAACCATAATTTGGGACATCTTGAAGTTTTAAATGTTTGTAGGTGGAAAAGACTGACAGAAAACGGACTTTCTCCCTCAGAATGAGCTGTGAAATTGCTTTAATTGTTTTGCATTAGTTACACAGGGTGTAGGAACTCTGTGCGTCTATGTTAATCATATCTGAAAGTTGATTTCTTTCAGGCTCTTATTCATCAGGAACAGTGGTGGGATTCAAATTTTTTTTTACTACGGTTCTGTGGGCGTGGCTTGGTGGGCGTGGTGTGGCTTGGTGGGCGTGCCTTGTTGGGCATGGCAGGATACTGAAAAATCCCCATTCACTACCAATCAGCTGAGACTCGGGAGGCAGAGAATAGATGGGGGCGGGGCCAGTCAGAAGTGGTATTTACCAGTTCTCCGAACTACTCAAAATTTCTTTTTTTTATTGAAAATTTTTAGGAAAAAAAACCTTGCCAATATTTACC